GGCTCCATGGTCCAACATCCCTCTTTCTAAAAGAAAGTTCACATCCCTCTGTGTACCCTGTCCATGATCTGCTTGACTCAGCATTCATTCTGCCGTATGGCGAACCCTAAGCTGTAGCAAAAAATTAACTTTGCGCGTTAACCAACATTCAGCAACTCCGTACGAGAAGATCTGCAGGAGCAGAGAGAGTAAATAGGAAACAGAGTTCCAGCCCCAGGAAGTTCAACTTGATTCAGTCGAGGTCGCACACCTGCCACATCCAAGGTCCCGAGCCTGAGTGGGTCACACAGAGTGGGCTTCTGTCACCAGCAGGAGCCTTTGCCTTGAGCCATATCACTGGGTTGGGGCAGGGCCAGTTACGAGTAAGGAAACCATCCACGTACGTCAGAGATATGTTTTCTCTTTTTCCTTCGGGAAGATGTTCTTGGGAATTCTTTGCCAGGAAGTCTGTCACTTCCTGCCCCAATGATGAGATTTCCGAAAGGCATAAATAGCTTCTCTTGCCACATGGAATTGGCTGAAGATGCCTCCATGCTACAGAAGGCAGGCCTCAGGGAGGGTGCTTTCCAGCAGCAGGGAAGGGGCATCAGGAGCTGCAGGACGAGCTCCAGGGGCTGGGCCGGGGGGCGGGGGGGGGGGGGGGGGGCCTTGAGGGCTAAAGGGAAAGGGCAGAAGGACCCGGAAAAGGGGCCAGTCTGCTGAAGAAACTGCCAGAAGAAATGTGCTGAGAGTGTGGGGAAGCACATGAGAAGAAAGAGTAAAAGACGAGGAAGAGTAAGAAAATGCATTTGTAAGAAAGGGTCTCAGAGGACACAGCAAAGCCCTAAAAGACATGTCAGTCATGGGTCAGTAAGGGGTCAGTGAGTGACACAGGGTGAGCCACACAAGGGAGGAGCTCCAGTGTGCAAGAAAGGGAAGAAAACAATAACTAGTAGGGCTGCAAGCTGTGACAGTCACCTGTCATGACACTGGTCATGCTAGAGTGAAGGGCTCCCCAGGTGTGGGCTTGATGCCGCATTCAACTTTGTGTTGTGTACACATTGCTTTTTGCGTAGTCTCGTGTGTCTTAAGTTCTGTTGGTAGTTTATCCATGGCGGTGAGTAAGTTATTATACAATACATCCTGTTGTGCTAAAGGTACTGGTGTGCCCCGGCAAGAGGGACACCTGCCTTGGGTCTATGCTTTAGACTTTTCCTATTCAAAATACGATCCTGTACCACCAGGACTGGCATCACCCCCGAGTTTTTAGAAATGCAGACTCTCAGGCCTTACCCGGACCTACTAAATAAGATCCCAGGAGATTCACACGTGCATTAGTGTCTGAGAAACGTGCTTCCTCCAGCCGCATCTCTCCTCGCTGGAAGAGGAGTCCTCAGGGCCAAGGAGATATGGCCACTCAGAGCCCACCTCCCCTTTTAGACCATGCTTCAGGTAGCTGGGATGTCGGAATCCTTTGCACAAATAGCCCTGCCTCATCCTGCCTTCAGGGTGTATGTGACTTTCCCCAGGCCCATCCTCCTAGGGTCAACCTCCCTGCCAGTGTGAGATCAAGTTGTCTTGGGGCAGCTGTTTGCAGGGGATGTGGACAGAGGTCGGACTGCAGGATGGAGTTTGCACATGAGGTACCTGAGAGAGAGCCAGGAACAGGAAGAGGAGCAGGGAGCCTGCGGGAGGCAGGAATCATCATTACCTGTGCTGCCCCACTCCAGTGCAGAACCCCAAGGAGTTCAAGCATTCTGAATTTGAAATGGTCCTTCCAGGTCAACCTGAAGGTATATTTGTCAAGGTAGGAGAATAAAACACACTCAATGGTTTATTCTCTCGATTCATAACTTTTATATATTTAGATCTGTGTATATGGGATGCCACGTGTGCTTTTGTCTGGGCCCCACAAATGTTTTTGTTGTACCTAAAATACACAAATCTGGGAAGAGCCAGATGACCATCATCACATCAGTTTGTCCCCAAGCAGGATAGGACTGTCCCCAAATGAGGACAAAACACGGATTCTTGAAGGTGGAGCAAAAACAGACCAAGAATCGGCCTCCAACAGAAATATAAGTAGTATATCTTCTGAGCCCAGAGGAGAAAGAGATTACTTCAGCCAGGGAAGTTTCCAGTGTGAAAGCTGGAACTTCTGGGATGAAGGGTGTTTTTAGAAGTGGCAATTTTGGCAGCAACAAGGTGGAAAGGGGCAGTGGGCAGCTCAGTCTTGCTGGAGGACTGAATGTATCCAAAAAGTCCCAAGGGCCAAGTGTGCAGAAGTGGGAAGGACCGGGCTACGGAGGGTCTTTGTTTAGAAGATCAACATCTCCCAAAGTGCTCTGAAGCCGCCCTTATACCTTGAGAGATCACTAGGATGTTACCAACATTTTTCTTATAAAATTTATTTAAATACATGTATTAAAAAGATATATACATGTGATATATACTGTGAATCTACATGTGAAACAAATTAATTTAGACACAAGACCTTATGCTCTCCACAAAAATATCATAGAACTAAAAGTAAAGCACAAAATTGTAAAACTCCTAGAAGACAACATAAGAGAAAACCTGGATGACCTTGGGTTTGGCAATGGCTTTTTAAATACAACACCAAAGGCACAATATGTGAAAGAAATGACTGATGAGCTGGACTTCATCACAATTAAAAATTTCTGTTTTGCAAAAGACAATGTCAGGAGAATAAGCCAAGACACAGACTGGGAGGAAATATTTGCAGAAAGACACGTCTGATAAAGGGCTGTTATCCACAATATACAAAGAACTCTTAAAACTCAACATTAAGAAAAGAAACAACCCCATTTTAAAAGTAGCCAAAAATTTGGGGCGCCTGGGTGGCTTGGTCGGTTAAGCGTCCAACTTCAGCTCAGGTCATGATCTCACAGTCTGTGAGTTCGAGCCCCGCGTCGGGCTCTGTGCTGATGGCTCAGAGCCTGGAGCCTGTTTCGGATTTTGTGTCTCCCTCTCTCTCTGCCCCTCCGCCGTTCATGCTCTGTCTCTCTCTGTCTCAAAAATAAATAAACGTTAAAAAACAATTTTTTTTAAAAAGTGGCCAAAAATGTAAACAAACACTTCACCAAAGAAGATATACAGATGGCAAGTAAGCATATGTAAAGATGTTAGGCATTATGTGTCGTTAGAGAATTACAAATTAAACTGCAGTGAGATACCACTATGTCCCTGTTAGAATGGCCAAAATGCAGAACACTGATAACACCAAATGCTGGGAAGGATGTGGAGAAACAAGAACTCTCAGTCATTGCCAGTGGGAATGCAAAAATGGTACAGTCACTTTGGAGATAGTTTGGCGGTTTCTGAAAAAACTGAACATACTCTTACCATGTGATCCAGCCATTGCCCTCCTTGGCATTTATCCAAATGAATTGAAAACTTATGTCCACACAAAAACCTGCACACAGATGCTCATAGCAACTTTATTCATAATTTCCAAAACTTGGAAGCAGCCAAGATGTCCTTTGATAGGTGAAGAGATAGATAAACGGTGGTCCATCAGACAATGGAGTATCGTTCAGCACTGAAAAGAAATGAGCTATCAAACCATGAAAAGATATGAAAAAATCTTCAATGCATATTACTAAGTGAAAGGAACCGATCTGAAAAGGCTACGTATATACTGTATGATTCCAATTATATGGCATTCTGGAAAAGGCAAGACTATGGAGACAGTAGAAAGATTAGTGGTTGCCAGGGGAACCACTGTTAGGGGGAAAAGGGATAAAGAGGCAGAGCAAGAGGATTTTCAGGGCAGTGAAAATATTCTGTACAGTTCTACAGTGGTGGGTACATCATTATACATTCGTCAAAACCCATAGAATGTCCAACACCAAGAGTGAACCCCAATATAAACTTGGGAATTTGGGCGATGATGATGTGACAATATAAATTTACTTATTGTATTAAATGTACCACTCTACTGCAGGATGTTGATAGTGGGGGAGACTGTGTGTGTGTGCGGGCCATGGGGTTTATGGAAACTCTCTGTACTTTCTGCTCAATTTTGCTATGAATCTGAAATTCCTCTAAAAAATAAAGTCAGGAGGAAAAGGAGGAGGAGAAGGAGAAATAGAGAAGGAGGAGAAGGAAGAAGAAGAGGAAGATGAATGATGTGAATAAATCAGTGGGGGGAAAAAAGACAAGTCTCCTGTGGTGAAGAATTCCAAATAATTGCATAGGCACCCCACCCTCAGGAAGGTCGAGCATAACTCCTTACTCCTTCAGTGTGGGCTATGCAGTGACTTCCTTCTAATGAGTACAGCATGGAAAGGGGTGGAAGGAGTCACTTTGTAATGAGAAATCGGACAAACATGACCTCAGCCAGGCGATCAAGGTCAACATCAAAAAAAGATTAAGTCATGTTGATAATATGTACCTTTTATATAATGTGGTGAAAATGATACTTTACCTCTGTGGTCTTTTTCCTAAAAACCCATAATCCTCCTAATCATGAGAAAAACAGAGGAACATTCTACAGAACGCCTAACTCCTGTGCCTCAAAACTGTCAAGGTCATCAAAAACAAGGAAAGTCTAGGAAACTGTCATAGCCAAGAGGAGCCTAAGGATGTGACAACTAACTGGAATGTGGCATCCTAGAGGAGATCCTGGTATACAAAAAGGACACTTGATAAAAACTAAGGAAATCCGAAGTAAGAATGGACACTGGTTAATAATAATGTATCAATATTGGTTCATTAATTGTAACAAATGTAGCATACGAGCATATGGGGTACACAGGAACTCTCTGTACTATTTTTGCAATTTTTATGTCAATCTAAAGGCATTCTAAAAGAAAGTTTTATTTTTTTTTAACATATTGAACATACTTGCATGGTTTCTAAAGGCAAGTGGCCTTTAGAAATGTTGTGTCCAAGTGAGCCCCATGGGCAGGCAAGACACTGCGCACCTGTGCTCAGTGGGAGCTGAGAGGAGGTAACAACACTGATCAATCAACAATCATCTCTCATTAGGCATCTTGTGTATTATTTCAGCATTCATTGTAGTGTTTAGTGTTTATCGTGGCCTAGACATTTACACACCCATTCCCTACAATTCTGTGCTGAGCAGGAGGATGTGGTATAGTGTTTGTCTTAGTCTGTTTGAGCCACCATAACAAACACCATAAACCAGTGTCTTAAACATCAGAAATTCATTTCTCGTGGTTCCAGAGGCTGAAGTCCAAGATCAAGGTGCTGACAGGGTAGGTTTCGATCTGAGGCCTCTTCTCTTGGTTTGTAGTTTACCTCCATCTTAGTGTGTGCTTACATGACCTCTTCCCTGTACACACAAAGAGGAGAGAGACAGACAGAGAAAGGCAGACAGAGACAGAAGAGTTCTCGTGTGTCTTCTGTTAACAAGGGTGCTAATCCCATCATGGGGAAGGGCACTAATGCCATCATGAGGACCCCACCCTTATGACTTCATCTAAACCTTTGCCTCCCAAAGACCCCATCTCCAAATACCATCATTGGAGTTAGAGCTTCAACATAGACATTTTGGGAATGGGGGTAGACACAGCCTTTTAGTCCTCAACGGTGGGTGAGGCCCATGTCGGCTTTATAGAGTCCAACTAACTACCTTGACTCAAACCCTGACATTACCCCTTACTAGCTCTGTGACCTTGAACAATTCACTCCACGCCTGGCTGTGCCTCTGTTTCCTCATCTGTAAAACGGGAGATATTAACAATACCTACCTTGTAGGTTGCTTTGAGGGTAAATGTCAGTATAAAATGTTTAGAACGGTGTTGGCATGTTAAGTATCAGCAAATGCTAGCTACTATCATTATTATGATGTAATTGATGAGCTCCTACTGGTATTTTTTCTCAATATCTTATATATAAAAAATGTTCTGAAGTCAGATATGTTTGAGGGAGACTGCAACAATGGGGAGGCTTTTGAAAAAATATTTTGGGCGGGAGGGTCTGTCTCCAGTGTTCAACTTTCCCTGCAGATGCGCCCATCAAAGACACCCGGCCCAAGTGGCCATTTCCTTCCTTTGTTCCTTACCTCACTTGGACGGCTGGAATTTAATGTTCTTGGCACGTTCCGACTTTTAACTTAGAGGGAAAAGAATGAAGTCACGTGTTCAACTGTGTAATATTATTAACGTTCTCGGCTCCACCTCAGATTCTTTTTCAAAGGCAGAAAATTATAAATAAAAACAGACATCTAATGAATCTAGCACTCAGTTATGCATTCAATCCCATTTGAATTCCAAGTTCAATTTTGATTTCTTAACAAATGCCTAACTCTATATCATAGTTAATGTTACTGGTTATTTTCCTCCTCACCTAACTTGTGGTATAGCAGAGTTATTGACTGCCCTCATCCTTCCATTAGGCTAAAATAGCTTAACGCATCTTCCACCCTAAGTTTGTACTCTCCCATTTTCCATTTTCAACTTGCTACTCTTATTTTAATGCTTGGTATTGTATACAGACTGAACTTTAAAGTTTATTTATTTTATTTGAGAGAGAGAGAAGGAGAGAGAGAGTGTGCATGGGTGTTTGTGGGGTGGGGAGCAAGGGGCAGAGAGAGAGAGAGAGAGAGAGAGAGAGAGAGAGAGAGAGAATCCTAGGCAGTCTCCACACTTAACGTGGAAGCCAACGCAGGGCTCGATCCCACGACCCTGGAGTCATGACCTGAGCTGAAATCAAGAGTCCAGACACTCAACTGACTGAGCCATTCAGGTGGCCCCAGACTGTGCTTTTTTTTTTTTTTTTAAGTTTATTTATTTTGAGAAACAGAGTGGGGGAAAGGCAGAGAAGAGAGAATCCCAAGCAGGCTCTGCACTGTCAGTGCAAAGCCTAACACGGGGCTCAAACTCACAAACCATGAGATCATGACCTGAGCCAAAGTCGGATGCTTCACTGACAGAGCCAACAAGGTGCCCCATCAGACTGCACTTTTTAAAAAAAGTTTTTAATTGTGGTAAAAATGCACATAACATAAAACTTATCATCTTAAGCATGTAAATGCATGGTTCAGCCTGGATTGCATGTTTTTGCTTTTTAAGTCCTCAGATGCCTGGTAACACCTCCAGAAGGAAGCTGTGGAGAGTTTTTCTTTGCTTCCTTTTTTTTTTTAATGGTCCACCTCTATTCAACAGGAAAAGGTTTGGTTTTCTAAGAAAATCTTAGTAATCTGGATAATGGTAATTGCTCTCATAAACCTCTCTAAACAGCTGATAGTACTTTCTGTTTCCCTGATAACTTATCTCTTGAATAAAAAGATAAACATCACTTTTTTGGCCTTCTGGTAAGGGAAAAAACAGGACAGATGAATGTGGTTCCTGTCTGGCCACAAAAAAGGGAACCAGGTATGGAGTCAGTGAAGTGCAGTGTCCCAGGGCATGCTGGGAAGCAGAAGCAGGGAGGCCCTGGACCATGGCTGATAGAGAGCCTGTTGCCCTGGTCTCCTCTCGAGAGTTCTATGCTCGGCTCAGCTAGACATTGTTACTCACACTTCACCCTGCCTGTGAAGGGTCTACAGTCAAGTCAGGAAGGTGAGGTGCATGTATATAAATGTAGTAAAAAGGCAGCTCAAGGCCATCTTTAAGAGGCAAATGAATGGTACAGATAGTAAATGCAGAACTCTGTGGATTGGAGGGTTAGAGGAAGCTTCTTAGGAGAAGTGGGATTCCTGAGTTACCTTGAAAGATGGGTAGGTTGTTGGAGAAACAGGTGAATTAAGGTCCTGTTGCTAGAGGAAAGTATATAAACAAAGGAGAAAAGAACATGGAGTATTGAGAAGACCTTTATTTCCCCAAACCATTTACTATTGATTTCCATATTTTCCTCAACTTAAGTTGGTTGGATTGGCTTTTGCCATTTGCAAAGGCTGTTTTTTCTTTCCACCTCTCCTTGAATCCCTAAGACAACCTCCAGCATTTACCTTTTTATATTTCTGTGGGCGAAAAACAGATTTGTCTTTTCCCCTTTTTGAATGTTGGCTTCCTGAGGGTAGAGGAATACAAGGAGATACTCTTTGCCTGAACCCAGCCATGTACCCACCATATACCCAAGATTAGACTTCTCTCCTGGCAAGAGATGCCTGTGAGTAGTATTGAGGAGTGATCGTACTTTCAGATACTCCTGTGGTGCCTATGACTAGCTAACCTTGGGGAAGGTCTCCTCCATCACTGACTTTGAGCTTCTCCAAACAGAGATCACGTGTAGAGTTTTCATGACTGTGTTTATTCAACAGCAACACTGACCAGTCTGGTCTCAGAGTCAGGACTGGCTCAAGTCTGGACCCTGGAGGCATTGATCAACTTTGTGGTCTCTCCTTGACCCTTTTGGGTCTCAGTCTGGTTAGTCAACGTATCCTGGTCACGTGGGTCAGCCAAAAAGAAAGGGCTTCTGGGCAGAATGCCATTAGGAAGGTTGTCCCTCAAGAAACAACACACCCTTTTATTTATGGTCTTTTCCTAATCCCCCATCAAATCAGATTTTGCTTTCTCACACTACTGAGGTGAAAGAGACAAAGACTTGTGTTTAATATGCAAAAGCAGTAGCTCACATCCAAATTGCTATTATTCCTGTAAAAAGGCTTCTTTCAGTGCTTTAAAATCCTTTAGCTATTTACTTGCATTGCATGGGTTACATTTACCTATTTTGTTGTTGTTGTTGCAAGTTTTGTATAGCATAATCACAAGGGAAGGGAAACAGTTCTAGACTATTTCTTTTGCTAGCCAGCCATCCCATTGAATTTTTATTTTAAAAAGAAGGAGAAAGGGAAGAAGAAGAAGAAGAAAATTCTACCTTGATTTCATGTAAAGGAATTGCATAATATTTGAATTAAAAATAATTATATTTCATCATACTTTTTATCATATTTGCCAAGACAGATGATGAAGTCATTGACACACGCAAGTATAAAAGCACAATATGCCTTCAATTTCTTTTGATTTCCTCCTCTACAGAATGAAAGGTTTGCCCTGAATAGATTATTTTTAAGTTTCTTTCTAGGTTAATATTTATGATTCTACAAGAAGATATAATGTTGGGGCGCCTGGGTGGCGCAGTCGGTTAAGCGTCCGACTTCAGCCAGGTCACGATCTCGCATTCCGGGAGTTGGAGCCCCGCGTCAGGCTCTGGGCTGATGGCTCAGAGCCTGGAGCCTGTTTCCGATTCTGTGTCTCCCTCTCTCTCTGGCCCTCCCCCGTTCATGCTCTGTCTCTCTCTGTCCCAAAAATAAATAAACGTTGAAAAAAAATTAAAAAAAAAAGAAGAAGATATAATGTTGTTTTTGTTAGAAATTCAAGATGGTAACATCATTAAAAAAACAAAAACAAAAACAAAAACTAGGAGAGACCAAAATTTGTCCTGGAGTAGATTGGTGCCCACTACTTGAGACCGCCCAGTTCTAAGAATGGTTGGCATTAGCATGGACCAAAGGAAGAGTCAGCAGCGCTTCCACGCAGTCCTTCCACCTGAAGTTTAGCATTTGCAGCCAAGGGTTGCAAATTCAAATGCCTCCTGGGTTTTGAGGCAGGTAATGAAAGTGTGTGAAGTGGTGGAGTGTGAGTCCAAGGTGAACGGTCAGAGCCCCGGCCCCTACCTAAGAGTATGTAAATAAATAAATAAATAAATCCTATAAGGCTTTGTTGGTCAAAGCACACAAACGAATCTGTGACTCTATCTGGCCCATAAGCCACTAGCCTCCCACTCTTAAATTCTAATTTAGCCAATCTCTTTATTTATTTTTTAATTTTTTAATTTATTTTTGAGAGAGACAGAGACAGAATGTGAGTGGGCTAGGGGCAGAGAGAGAGAGACACAGAAGCGGAAGCAGCCTCCAGGCTCTGAGGTAATAGCAAAGAGCCCGACATGGGGCTGGAACTCACGAACTGCGAGATCATGACCTGAGCCGAAGTTGGACGCTCAACCGACTGAGCCATCCAGGCACCCCTCTTTATTTTTTAAGTCAAACGTGAGGCCAAGAGAGTGGCAGTAATTTGCTGGAAGTCACACGCTGTTTAATGCTACAACAAGGATGGGAAGCCAGGTTTGATTCCCAAGTCAGTGTTCTTCCGCCTGATTCTCCCCTAGCTTGGATCTGCTCCAGCCAAGCAAGTCTCCTGATTGTCCAAACACAGAATGGATTGTGGTCTTGCTGTCCTTATCTGAAAATTTGTTATAATAATACCTACTTCATAAAGGTAAAAGGAGATCTACATTAAAGTCACTTTTTAAAAATGCAGGCATGCTATTAGCCATTATTAAATCACGAACAGCACCATTCAGGAGCCACATAGATCATTTTAAATTGTCTAGTAGCCACGTTAACATAAGTAAAGCAGATACATAAAAATTTGTAATACATATAAAAATTATTGAGAAATTTACCTTCTTGTTTCATACAAATCTTCAAAATCTGGTACGTATTTTATGCTTACAGCACATCTTGATTTGGACAATCACATTTCAAGTGCCCAATAGCTACTGTGGCTACCGTATTGGACAGTGAAGTTCTGGAAGGTTCCTTTTTGTTCCATTCTCCCTCTGCTCACAGCCAACCAAAGAAGAGCAAAAGTCCCCAGAGGTTTGCTTCTTTTAAGCCTCCTATTGCTGGTTAATTAAATCTCTAAGCAACGCTGAGTCACTTGCAACTGCAGAAGACAATTTAAGAATCTGTCTCCAAGCCAAGAACATAGCTCCCCCCGTACAAGGAGGGGAGGGCAAGTCCTTTGGGCTAAATGCCTTGAAGGAGGAAGTCTGCATTGAATCAGGTGCTCCTGTGGGAGAGGGGAAGATAAGTCTTTGACAAGGAGAGAGGAAAGCAGAGAAGAAAAAGGGTCTTACTAGGGTCACTGTTTCCTTCCAGGCTGCTGTAAAGGAGAGTCTATAGTGTTTCACTCAATCCTCACCACTGGTCCGTGAGGTGAATACTATGTTATTCCCATTTTATAGAGGAGGAAACTGAATAATAGAAAAGGTCATGTAGCTTGCCTGAGGTCGGGTAGCTAGTAATCAGTAGAGCTTGTGCTCAATCCCTAGTTCTTAACCATTAAGCTGTACTTAGGGTGTTGTCACACCATCTCCAAATCCACATGGGTCACACGAATATTTACATGTTCAAAAAATGTGCGTGGGTGTTTGGTGTTTACATATAATTTATTATTGTCTGCACGACTGAATGGTCTATTTTCAGGCAAATGCCAATCTGAAACAGGGCACTACTTCCTAATAAAAGTGGTAGTTTCTTCATTTTTCTCTTTGCTAATCCTTTTCCCTCACCCACTGTTTCTGGCGGACTCCTGGGAGCAGAACTGTATGAGGGGGCGAAACAGAGCTAAGAAGAAGGAGGTGAATGCCAGAAATCAGCAGGGCTGGCTATCAGCCAAGGAGCTGGCTTATCTGTAGCATCTGGTTTGAGGTGGGAGAGGAGGGAAATATCAAAATTCTTGTTTGTCTATTAATTTTTCCTCCTGTGATACCTACTGTTAGAATGGACACTGATACTTGAAATCATGCAGTGTCTACAATCCACAGGTGGCTTCAGCTGAGATTATACTTGGTTATTTCTCAATACAGATGGTCCTCGACTTAAGATGGTTCAACTTAGGGGGCGTTTGGGAGGCTCAGGTGGTTGTGTGGTTGTGTGTTTGACTCTTGGTTTCGGCTCAGGTCATGATCTCACAGATCATGAGCTTGAGCCCTGCATCGGGCTCTGTGTTGACAGAGTAGAGCCTGCTTGGGATTCTCTCTCTCCCTCTCTCTCTCTCTGCCCCTCCTCACTCATGTTCTCTTGCGTACATTCTCTTTCTCTCAAATAAACTGTAAAAAGAAAAAAAAGATGGTTCACCTTAGGATTTTTCTACTCTATGATAACGAGAAAGTGATAAGCATTCAGTAGAAATCATACTTTGAATTTTGATCTTTTCCCCAGTCTAGCGATATTCAGTATGATATCTCTTATGATGCTAACATCAGCCATAATCACGGAAGTAAACAACTGATACACTTACAACCATTCTGTACCCACACAACCATGCTCTTCTTCACTTTCAGTACACTATTCAATCAGTTACATGAAACATTAAACACTTTATTATAAAATAGGCTTTGTGTTAGATGATGTTGCCCAATTGTAGGCTAATGGAAGCCTTCTGGGCATGTTTAAGGTAGGCTAGGCTAAGTGATGATGCCCAGTAGGTTAGGTACATTAAATGCATTTTCAACTTACAATTTTTTCAACTTACAATGGGTTTATTGAGGTGTAACCCCATCCTAAGTCAAGGAAGATTTTTATTCTCCAAGATGGTGGCCAGAACTAGTACAAAGAAAGAAGTCATTCACAGACTCAGCCTGGGGGTGTCCTGAAGCAAAATGAGAATGACTTGGGTGTTATTTACAGCTTCAGACTCCACAGGATGAAAGACTACATGGCAAGTTAGCAACAGAAACACCCAGGACACCCCCAGATTGGGTGCGGTCCGTGAATGGCTCATTTCTTTGGGCGCCTTCATAGTGTTCTCTTCACCTCTCGGTTATGTACTTATTGAAACCCCTGGCATATGGTTGGTTTCCAATACCTTTGAACCACAACACTTAGAGCCCACTAGTGGAATCATTTTATAAAAAAATAATAGCTATCACTCATATATTTCTTTATAGAACATTTTCATAAACCTTATTTGTGTAATTGTCACAAATTCTCTGATTATGAAGCAGGAAAGGAAAATCTTATATTTTCCTGGAAAAAAGTAAATAAACAAACTGAAGTTCAAAGGGCTTAAGTAAATGGCCCAAGGTTCGTGCAGTTATTAAGTGGAAGGTCTGTCTCTTGAATTCAGGTTTCAGGTTCCAAATCTCAAGTGTTATGTATTGCCTGGGGGAGAAGCTGGAAAGCTGGAAACCACCTCTTGTTTGCCACCTGCCCAGTCAAGCCAGAGATGGACAGAGCTGCCTTTTAGAGATACCTTAACAGAGCTACCCCTCTCTAAGTGAATCTCACTTCCAGCCCAGTAACAAGCCACTCCACTGGTTCAGCACCCATGACTGAGGACCATCTTGGTGCCAGGTGCTGTGCTAAGTGCTGGGGATGTAAAGAGTAATAAGGCAGGTGAGGAGCCCACCTGGCAGTAGGGGTTCCTGGATTCTCTGCTGCACATCTGACACAGAGATGGGGGAAGTGGGTGTGATCTTGGAAACAGGGAAAGAGGCATCAATGATCAGAATAAAGGCAAAATGTCGACAAGAGCCCCAAAGCAAGAAAAGTCATAATGTGAATAACAAAGAGACAATAGCAAAGGAACTGAAACTGACTTCTTTCTGGGCTGCCCCTCTCCCCACCCCTGTTCCCAATATCCCCTGTTAGAATGTCTTGTGGGTAGAAAGTTCTTGGTAAAGATTGGCCATATCTTGTGCTGGTTGGCCCCAAGAGCAACAGGGGAGATTTCCCCTTTGAGGGCTTCCTCCTCACCTGGACACCTGGACACCTGGACACCCTGCCGGGGTGTTGAGGTGGGATCTGCTTCTGAAAATGGACAGGAGTTGTTTTTGTTTTTGTTTTTGTTTTAATTTTTATTTTGAGAGAGAGGGCAGGAGGAGCGGAAAGAGAGGGAGAGACAGAGAATCCCAAGTAGACTCTGCACTGCCAGTGCAGAGCCCAGTGTGGGGCTCGAACTCATGAACTGTGAGATCATTATATGAGCTGAAATCAAGAGTCGGACGCTTAACTGACTGAGCAACCCAGGTGCCCCCTGGAGTTTATTTTTTAGCAGGGAAGAAGCCAATGAACCTCTCCCCACTGCCTGTCGCTGTCCCCACCCAGCTTCCCTGCTACCACCACCTCTGAGTGGATACCAATCCTCAGTGACCCACCCTCCAGGACCCCTGACCAACAACCTGGCAGCTGTTCTTCCTGTGGAAAATTCAGTTTCCTTCAACTCCTGAAGGTCAGCTGCATGACTGAACAGTTGCTGCCAGGGATGCTCGCAAAAGTTTGGTTTTCCATCTTCCCAGAGGGCACTGGTGTTGAAATAAGCCAGGCCTCCCTCCTGACAAGACAAGTGATGCTGACATTGCCTGACCACCAGGCACTGCTGGGCCTAAATTAATCCTCACCAGAAGCTTAAAGAAAGCTATAATGATCTCTACTACAGAGATGGGGAAACTGAGGCTCAGAGAGAAGTGCTTTCCACAAAGTCACACAGCCAGCAAGTGACGGCCTGAGTTTCCTCACTGACCTGTCTGGCTTCAAAGCCCATACCTTTCCTACCATATTGCTTGCCCCTTGGTATTCTGGGCACCATACAGATAACAACTTAATATTCTGGTGCACCAGTGCCAGGGGACAATTGTGGCTGGTTTGTTACCCCTCCTGACTTGGGAAAACAAATCTGCTCAGCCTGTAGTGTTTTCCTAGTGGGAATAACTCACTAACCACAGGGCTGAGGTTGATAGGATATTTTGAAACAAACAAAATTTTCAACATTTCCTTTCTCTCCTACCCCAAGTTAGATGTCGAAGATGTTCCAGCTCCTCTGCTCGTCGTCAGACCCAATGGTTCCTGGCGTTCACCTCCTCCTCCTTTGCTCTGTCTCCCCACCAACCAGTTTCGCTTCCAAGAGTTCATCAGAAACAGTGAGTGGGTGAAAAGGAATAGCAAAGAGAGAAATTAAGAAAATACCACTTTATTGGGGAGCACTGGTACTGTTTTAGATGGAAGTTTGCCCAAAAATAGACCATTCAGTCATGCAGATAATAATAGTGTTAGCTAGGACTTGGTTTTGCCAATGGGCCAGGCACGATTTCAAGTGATTTGCAAATATGAACTCATTTAATCTTTACAAGAGCCCCACCAGATAGGTTTATGACTAGCCTCATTTTCCGTAAGGGGACACCAAAACACAGGAAGTTTGAGCACAAGAAGGTGAGCCGTGAGCTGAACCCAGGGAGTCCTGCACCGAAGCGACCTGGGCAAGCCACTAACCCTGGGGACAGCCTCTAGGACCAGGATGGACTCTGCCCAGAAAGAGGGGCAGCATGCCGAGTGACCTTTCACTGGTCACCGCCTCTTCTCCAACTTGCTCTCCAGGATTACCAGGTCATTAGTGGTTTTTCCAAGGGTTCACGAAGAAGGAGACTTTCAATTTTTTATTCTATTTTGTTATAAGGACAACTTTAAAAAAAAGGTGAAAATCATGACGAGATATAAAACAAACACATGTTCGAGGTTGTTTAAGGGGTGCCTGGGTGGCTTGGTCAGTTAAGCGTCTGACTTCAGGCCGGGTCATGATCTCACAGTTTGTGAGTTTGAGCTCTGCGTCTCGGGCTCCGCACTGACAGCTCAGAGCCTGGAGCCTGCTTCAAGTTCTGTGTCTCCCTGTCTCTCTGCCCCTGCCCCACACACTCTCTCTCTCACTCACTCTCTCTCAAAAATAAACATTAAAAAAATTTTTTTTAAGATTGTTTAAACTTATTAATGAGAGGACTAGGCAGATGTTACAATTGGTTCAAAGGAATCCAAAGGACAGCGGATTTATAGATCAGGAATATTGAAAAGAATTTGTAAATGGATGCAAAACTGGCTTTTCTAGGGTGAAGAGAGGGGGACGTCGTCCCTCCACTGGACGGAATTCACTTCTGTGTCTATGGACAAACATTATTTTGCTTTGCTATCAGTACTCTTTACAGAATTGTAAAATCAAAGGCAATGAAAGGCTAGAATCAGATCATCCTAAAGGGTAGGCTCTAAGCAGAGCATGGCTTTCTATTGGAGACATTTAATAAATTTTTTTCTTATTCCTAATTTCCTTACATTCTGCATTGCTAGGATCTTTACAACATGTATATGTCACTGTATTATTTGAGTAATTAGTATATGTTAACTCTGCTTTTTTAAAATTTTTTTTAAATTTATTTTTGATAGAGAGAGACAGAGCACAAGTCGGGGAGGGGCAGAGAGAGAGGAGACACAGAATCTGAAGCAGGCTCCAGGCTCTGAGCTGCCAGCATAAAGCCCGACGCAGGGCTCGAACTCACAGACCGCGAGATCATGACCTGAGCCGTAGTCGGACGCTTAACCAACTGAGCCACCCAGGCGCTCCGCTTTTTAAAAAAAGAATACAAGCCTAACACCCTCTTCATTCTCTTACCTTTTTTCTACCCCCAATACTTCTTTCTTTTCCTCATTCCACTGATACTAAATGTATTTAATTTATGTTCTGTTTCGATAATTCCAGTATCTGAAGTCTTTGTGACCCAATTCTTCTGTTTGTTGTTTCTGTTGACTCTCACTCATGGCACTTTGTTTCCTTGTGTGTTTCATAATTTGTTTTTGAAAACTGTGGGCTTATATTTATTGGATCTTTATCTGATGGAATTTTTTCAAGGCCTGGCCAAGGGTGGTATCTTCCTCCAGAGAGGATCTATATTTGCTTCTTCTAAGCACTCAGAATCACGGCCTACCCAGGATCAATTTAAATGTAGTTCTCAATTGGAGGTCTTCAGAATATGCAAGTAGAGTGAATTTGGACCCAAAACCTGAGTTGAGGGCTGGTTTGTGATGACTCACAGCTCAAGGAAACATTTTTTCTCTCAACCTGAGAGCAAAAGCCAAGACAAGTGATTCTTTGGTCTGTCCCTTTGGAGGGTGCCCCACTCACACTGCGGCTCTGCCCTTCAGAAGCCCAGCTTTGAGCTGCAGTCTCTGATCTGATCCTTCAGCTTGTGTGGGCTCTGTGGTTTCCAGAAACTGAGAGATTTCTCTCAGAGTGCTTTTGCCTTTAGTACTCGCTTACCTCTCTAAACTTGCTATTGCTTTGATTTTTTTTTTTTGCCTTTTAGTTTTTCCTTTTCTGTGTGTGCACACACCCACGCAAGCACACACAGGAATGTCAGCTCAGCAGTACGTTTTAATAGTTTAAAAAATGTTTTTAGTATTTTTAGATATTTCAGGTATTTGGTAGTGATGGGATTTTTAAGAATAGCTGGCCTACCATATTGCAGGAAGTAGAAGTTACCCGTTATTTCTAAAGTAGTGGCATAGGGTAATGAACCTGGGATCTGGGCTAATTTATTCAAAATGGCTCCCATGTGCCAGACACTGCACTAGAGACCGGTGAACAAAGTTCTGACCTTGCCTTCAGGGTCCTGCCTGGTCCCATCTTCTTCATGAAGTTACAACTAGATTGAATTTGGGCTAAGCTGATTATCAACTGTATTAACTTAAATGCATTTCTAAACCTATAAAAAAGGAGATGGGGTGCCTGGTTGGCTTGGTCTGGTGAGCATCCGACTTCGGCTCAGGTCATGATCTCGCGGTCCGTGAGTTCGGGCCCCGCGTCTGGCTCTGTGCTGACAGCTCAGAGCCTGGAGCCTGCTTCGGCTTCTGTGTCTCCTGCTCTGTCTGCCCCTCCCCCGCTTACACTCTGTCTCTCTCTCTCCAAAATAAATAAACATTAAAAAATATTAAAAAAAAAAATAAAGGAGATAGCTACCTCATGGGCAATGCTGAAGACTAGGTGAACTTAACCTACAAACATCAGTTAGGATGATTTCTGAAGAAAATATATCACATGACTTTTCCTAAACCAGCCATTGTCAAGGGAAATAGAAATATCATAATTGGCTTAGACCAATTAATACCTACCTTTGGAATTGGAGACAGGTCACTTTCCTCTGACCCTCAAAAGGAAAGAATTGATGAACAAAACTGAGGTTCTGTTAGCAAGGATGAAAGAGAAATGAAGTTCCCACTACAGTCCGCGAATGCCCAGGACAATGGCAACCAGCCAGCAGTTATATGTCCAAAAAATGTTAGTTACTAGTTCTCTCAACTACAACCAAAACTAATCTATACAAACTGACTTGAGGTCAACCCCTTAATACAACTATTCACCTGGAAATCAAACCATCTGACAGGTGCCAATGAAAATTTTTTCAAAAGCTCGAGCCTGACCGCCTCCCATGGTGGATGCCAGCTCTTCACACCTTGCTCCACGCTGCACAGCACATCGCCAGGCAGGTGTTCTCAGGCTGATTCACTGCTGCTCCTGCTGTCCTCCGTGTTGGTGGACCCCCTGAACTTCTGGACAGCCTTCATGCCACAACTGGCAAAGAAAGTCTCCTCTGGGATGGAGGCCCCGACACACACACCCCCGTGCCTGGGAGAAGTGACTTCCAGCTGCGTCCCTTTCACTCCAAATAAATATGTAAGAAAGTAAAACACAAGAGAGACAGACAAAAAGCAGGCTTGGAAAGACAGAATAAGGAAAATGTACTTGCACAAAAGCAAGAGAGAAGAAAAGGAGGCAGAGGGAAAAACATCTCTCTGTGTCCACTTGAGCTCTGGGAAAACCAGATTTTTTAAACTATTCTTTTAGATTTAAGGATTTATTACTACTCCTTCCCTTCCTAATAGCCCTCTTTTCAGCAGTTTCTTTATTCATCTGGAAGCAGGAAGGATGAACAAAGGATCTTTCCTCCTCAAGAAACACCCCCTCCTTCCTTGTCTCCACACCCCTGTCCTAGGAATCCATGATTCCAGGAAACGTTTTCACATAAGACAGTTCCGGTTACTGGAAAATCTTCAGGCTTTCCTCTATGGGTTTATAATGGCCTGGTCTCTGACTCACAAATAAAAGAGATTTACTGAGATAGTAACACCTTTTATGTAGTCTCAAGTCACTTCATCTCTCCCAGATTCACACTCCTCAGTCACACAGTGATGAAAGGTAGAATGGGTTAGTGTTTTCCAAACTGTATACGTGTGCATGTAAGTGTGAATGCATGCACGCATGTGTGTGGAGGTACATATTGACATAACAGAACATCTTTTTGGATGATGACATCTTGTGTGAAATGCCATCATAAAAAACAGATAAAAACATATGTGCTTTTGTTGAAGGGAGGGTGGAAGGGATAAGGGTGGAAGAGGAGAAGAAGGGGGTCCGTAGAGGTCCCACCCTTGGGCCCGGCATCCCCTTGAAGTACTGCCCCAGGTGAGACCTTCCTGGGGCTATTAGACAACCTCTGGCCTAGCTGTTTTTTCTCTATGGTCCCTTCTGATCTAAAATCCTCCCTCCCTCCCTTTCTTCCCTCCCTCCCTCCCTCCCTCCTTCCTTCCTTCCCTCCCTCCTTCCTTCCTTCCTTCCTTCCTTCCTTCCTTCCTTCCTTCCTCCCTTTCCTTCTTCCTCCCTTTCTTTCTCTTTCTTTCTTTCTTTGTTTCTTTCTTTCATTCTTTCTTAAAAAGTCTGATTATTCCCTTATAGATCACACAATAGCACAGCACACCTTTCATAGATATAAAGCAGGTTAAAATGTACTATTCCCTTCCTAACCTCATTTCTCTCTCTCTGGTAACTTTGAAAAAAAGTTGATAGAGGGATATATATATGATTATATATATATATACACATATATATATAATCATATATATGATTATATATATATACATATATATAAAATCATATATATGATTATATATATATAATCATATATAAGTATATATTTATAATATAAAAATACATATATATACCGTAAATATATATGAAATATATATATATAAATGATATGGAATATATATATGGAATAATATAACTAACACTTACCATCCATAATCAGAAAATTGTAATTTGACATAAAGACTTTTTTAAAGCAAAGAAATAAAACCTGGCAGACAAAGTTCAAGTTTTCTTTGTCTTCCCAATCCTGTTTTCTTCGTTCTCTCCTCAGGTAAACACTATCATGACTAAATAATGGCCCTCCAAAGGTATCCATGTGCCAAACTGTGGCTATGTTACCTTACATGGCAAATGGGAATTTGCAGATATAATTACATTAAGGATTTTGAGATGGAGAGATTGTTCTGGATTCCCCACCTGAGCCCAATGTAATCACCCGTGTCTTTATTAGAGCCCAGTGTAATCACCAGAGGATCAGAGAGAAGACGCGATAACGGAAACAGAGGTTGGTGGGATGGGGCCAAGAGCCAAGGAATATGGGCAGCCTCTAGAAGCTAGAACAGGCAAGGATTCTCTCCCAGAGCCTTGCTGACCCATTGTAGACTTCTGACCTTGGGAACTGTAAGATGATAGAGTGGTGTTTTTGAAAGTTATTAAGTTTATGCCAATTAGAGAATATGTCAACAATAGAAAACTATTACAGTGAGTTAGACAGGTTTCCATCTGGTCCATGTTTTTGTACTTGGATTAGATAGATGATTGATTGATTGATTGATTGATTGATAGATAATAGAGAAAGTAATTTTGTTTTAGGTTTTTTCTATACTCAATGTTTTTGAGAATATATGCATTTGATACGTAAACATTTAGTTCATCCAGCTCAACTGCTATTTAGTATTTTGTAATGAATATATCACAGTTTATTTATGTAGTTCTCTAAAATGGGAATTAGGATATTTTTTTATTTTTCACAGCAATATACTTCCTTGTGCGTATTTCCTTACACACATACCTCCTTGTACATATATGCCAAAGGTCTACTAGAATATGTGTCTAGAATTTGTGATTCTGTCTTTAACCCAGCCTCAGATTTTAAAGTTATTAGCATATGTGCCCAGACTATTGACAGGGGCTCTCTGGGGAAGGGAATAGGATTTGAGGAAAGAATGGGGAGGAAAACCTTCACATTCACCTTAATGTTTTGATGTTTGAATTTTTTACAGGCATATATTACTATAGTGAGAAAAAAAAAAAAAACCTAGGTATTTAGGACTTAAAACAGAGGTTGAAAACCAGAGGTCCTTAGACTAGATACAGCTGGCAGACATGTTTTGCTTGACCCACACAGGTTTTTTAAAATATTGAAATATTCACTTATACTAAACAATAGGGTATTTCGTATAACTATCCAAAATTTCAACTTCTCTTGAAAAATTGGAAGAGTTGGAAATATCGGGCCTGCATTTTCACATGGCAACAATTGTCAGGAGCAAAGTCGAGCTGATTCCCCGAGTGAAATAAGTGTTCTCTCGTTTTGCCACAGTCCTCAGTCACCTCTATTGCCTTACACCTGCCCATATTACTCATGTATTTTATCTCCTGGACTTCTGTAGGCTTTTGAGGTTGTCACCCTAGCTAGAGTTGCCAGATAAAAACCAGAACTTCCAGTTAAACTGGAACTTCAAATAAACAACAAATACTTTTTTTTAGCATAAGTATGTCCCAAATATTGCTAAGCTCCCTGTATTTTTATTTGCTAAATCTATCGACTCTAACCCCAGGTTTCCAGCTCTTGGTAGCCTGGCCTCCCCCATTCCAACTTTATCTCTTACTGATTTTCTTTATGCTCTGGCCAAACCAGACTGCTCACCAGTTTCCTGAACATGTTGTTTGCAATCTTCTTCTGACTTGGAGATCCCACCCCTGTTTGTCTCCAGCTACCTAAGATTAAATCGGTGCTCTTTATGATCAAGTTGAAGTTCAGGCTCCTATAGAAATTTTCTCTGCCTTAGAGATCGCTTCTTCCTCCTTATGCCACAGCACTATTAGAACTCACTTAGCATTTATCACTTTGAACTGCAGTGTTACTTACTTTTTCACAGGTAAGACATCTCCCCAAGTAGATTATAACCATTAAGTTTTTACTTATTATTGTACCCCGAGTGCCTAACAAATGCTTTGTTGGTTGGTTGATAGGAGTATGTAAGATGTAAGATGTACGGATAATGTATTAATGAGCTTTTCATAACAAATTACTCCAAAACTTAGTGATTTAAAATAACAAACATTTAATCTAGTTCATGATTCTGTGGGTTGGTTGAGTGGTTCTTCTGGGCTGGGCTAGTTTGGTTGAGGCTAGATGTCTGGGACAGCCACACTCCTACGTCTGGGGCCTCAAGTGGAATGCTGGACCAAGGATGTGGCTGGAGCCTCTTTCCATGTGGTGCTGCTCATCCTCAATGAGAAGGGGCCAGGCTTGTTCACATGGTGGTAAAGAGATCCCACCAGCAAGAGCCTCTGCTGTGTCAATTTTGCAATTGTCCCATTCGCCAAATAAGGTCATTTAGCCAGGCCTGGATTCAATAGATAGAGAAATAGACTCAGAGAAACAGACTCTGCTGCTAGTGGGAAGAGGGATAGAATCACACTGCAGAGAATGCATGCAGGGGGCAAGAACAAATGGGAGGCTATTATTGCAACAATGATAATAACAATAAAATAACAATAAATAAACAATGATAATGACAATAAAAACAATCAGATGATAATAAGAACCCAGCTTACAAAGTGCTTAGAAATTCATTTTGGGGCACCTGGGTGGCTCAGTGAGTTAAGCGTCCAACTTCGGCTCAGGTCATGATCTTACAGTTTGTGATTCGAGCCCCACATCAGGCTCTGTGCTAACAGCTCAGAGCCCTGGAGCCTGTTTTGGATTCTGTGTCTCCCTCTCTCTCTGCCTCTCCCCAGCTTGTGCTCTGTCTCTCTTTCTCCCTCTCAAAAATAAATAAACATTGAAACAATTTTTCTTTAAAGAAATTCATCTCAATTAAAGAAGCATGCTTATGTTCAATCTTGGTCTCTGCATATCGGTAAAACTGGACGTCTGGAATGCCAAACTCCTTCCCCCAGGGGCCTTTCCTATGCTGCTTTCTCTGCTCGGAATGCTCCTCTTCACCTCCTTGTCAGGCTAATTACTACATTTCCTTCAAGTCCTTTCCTGAAGTCACTTCCTTATGGGGAGCCTCCCCTGACTCTTCAGACCAGTCCAGGTCTCCTGTTCTGCACCCTCAGAGCACCGTGGGTGCTGCTTTTACGGGGCTCCCCACCATCGTCATCAATTACTGTGTTGGGTACTTACTTAATGTCATCTGTCCCTCTCAAAAGAAAGAGCTCTTGGGCAGAGACTGGATCTATCTTGTTCACTGTTGAATCCCCAACATCTAGCACCATGCCTAGCATATAGTAGGTGCTCAGTATCAGGAGAGTAAATGACTGAATATACAAACAAATGGCCTACAGTTTGCTCAGTGTAGAAGAGACCTGTTCAGAGCACCCTGAACTCTGCCAGGGTGGAAGTCATGGGAAACTGCAGTCGGTTGGGGAGATGAGAATGGGTTGCACAAAGTCATCCAAGAACAACTCAGGACCAAATAAAGATTTAAACTCCAGCTGCTAGACTGTAATTGCTGTGGGAGATGAGGAAGAAGATATCAGGACAGGATGGGTGGTTATAGAAGGCTTCACATGGGAACTAGGCCCAGGGAAGGAACAGGATTTGGATGTGATGAAATTAGGGAAGGAGGCTAATAAGTCAAGGTCATGAGTTTGAGCCTCTTTGGCTCCAGTTATACTGGTATCTTCATAAGCTATTACTCACAAGGAGAATGAGTGAGGATGGTTGGGCAGAGCCAATCCCACTGTCACTGAAACGTCCCTAGAAGATTATGTTTCAAAGGACATTGCAAAGTTGAGAGTTGTCCACACACATAAAAAACAGCCCATTCAGAACTCAGACTCCTCTGAGCCAGTAAAAGGGAACAACAGTAAACATCTGCTTCTGCTCTTCTGGAAACACTGTGGTCTAGATGCTCTCTCTTTTTTTCTTCCTCTCTTTCATGTTTAACTATTCATTATGACAACTTCTGAACATAAACAAAGAAGAAGGGTACAAGAAACCCCATCCCCAACTTCAAAATGCTTCCATACTTTGCCATATTTCTTTCATCTCTCTCCCTCTCCAACCCTTTTTTTTCCCCTGAAGCATTTTAAAGCAAATCCCAGATACAGTGTCATAACACTCCTAAATAATTCAGTATGCATCTCTAAAAGAAATAAGGGCATTTTTTTTACATAACCACAATACCTTTCACATGCACAGCAAAATAAGGCATAATTCCTCAGTATCATTTAATACCCAGTCCATATTTAATGTTTCTTGATCATCTGAGACATATCTTTTTACCGTTAGTTTATTTGAATTGGGATCTAAACAAAGTCCACACATTAATTTGGTCAACATGCCTCTTAAATCTCTTTTAATCTAGACTACTGTTAAATTAATTAAACAAGAAGGCCATTAGACTGATGTGGCTCTAATTCCCTGGCAGCCTACGAAAGCAAGCCCAAATCTAAGCCTGTAAATGCCTCAAGGTTATGAAATCAAAATGCTAAGGACAACCAGTTACAGTCAACTAGGCTTTAAGCTACAGTCAATCAAATAATTTTCTCTCTCTGTTTTTGTACTTTCTGTACATAAATCTTTCCTCTGACGCCTGTTGGTGGAGCACTCCTAACCACTTCTGGTTTGGTGCTACATAATCTGACTTGATCTTTGCTTAGATAAACTCCTCAAAATTTTAATATGCCTCAGTTTATCTTGTAACACTATGGATGTTCTCTTTGAATGGGCATCTCTTTGCTGACAACCCACCTTAGCCTCGCCGCCTTTCTCTCTCTCCTGGATGGGCAGGGAGCTGAAAGATTAAGATTCCCATATGAGGAGAGGGTGGGAGGGATGGAGTGAGTATCAGCATCCTTAATCTTATGGAAAAAAAAAATTCTAATTGGCTTTGGAGGGAGCAGATTAAAATAAGAGACTCTTAAAAAACTGGAGCTGGCCTGCATGCTCTCTTAACATTTATGAATGAGAGGAATTTATGGAGATGTAAGAGTCTGATTCCTGTGCTCGCTTTGGCAGCACATATACTAAGAGTCTGATTCCTAAGGGCAAGAAAGGGAGGGTAAGTGAAACGAAATCTGGTTGAATCTGAGGAACAACATAGAAACACAGGCAGGACCAGCTACATCATTTGCAGGGCTCTGTGCAAAATAGAGGTCCCAGTCCCCTTATTCAAAAGTATTAGGAATGCGGGGGCGGGGGCTGGGTGGTTCAGTCAGTTAAGCATCCAACTCTTGGTTTCATCTCAGGTCATAATTTCATAGTTTGTGAGTTCAAACCCTGCATTGGGCCCTGCACTGATAGTGGGGAGCCTGCTGGGATTCATTCTCTCTGCCTCTCCTGCGTGTTCCCTCTCTTGGGAAAAAAAAAAAAAAAAAAGTATTAGGAATTCCAAGATGGCAGCAGAGGAGCAGAAGAACATTAAACCAAGCATGGGTCCTTCTGAGCACAGGGACCTGTGTGAGTACATAGCCACATGCCCCCATGAAGCTGGCCCCGACATAGTCCAGGCCCAGGGAGGGGTTCTACAAGGCAATGCTTTACCAAGCTGTGTCTCATTTGCATTTCAGAGACATCCAAAGACAATGGGAAACATTTCCACATTTGGTAGCCACTGCCAGCATCTCAGACTTAGCAGGATGCTTATGGGTGGGGAATGGCTTCTAGAAGGTCACAGAGATCAGCACTACATAGCTCTCAAATCGTGGATAGTGATGGGTCTGGATCCTTAGATGCTGGTCTACGTGAGCACAGGCTCTAGAGTCAGAGTGCCTGGCTACATATCCAGACTCTATCATTTATTGGTCACTGTGAAACCTTGGTCAAGTTGCTTGACCTCTCTGTGCTTTAGTTTCCTCATCTATAAAATGGGGCTAATAAAAGTACCTACCTCATAGAGTTGAGAATTAAGTTAGTTGATATTTGCTGGACTGTGGCAAGTGTTATATGTGTTTGTTAAAATAAATCCAGGGGCTAGAGTTGGAAGGGTCCAGACAGAGCTCTGGTAGCCGTGCTACCTGCAGGACAAAGACGGACTGTGATCTTCTTAAAGAAGAAAGCTGTGCCTGGCATCCTCATTGTTCTTCCCAACAATTTACATAATGGTCATCCACTCAGTAAGTATTTATTCGGCACCTACTATGTACCAGGCACTTACTGAGCGGAGAGTGAGCCACACGTGGTCCTTGTCCTTCTGGTGCTAGTCGTCTAGAATAGGGAGGGCTCCACATGCAAAGTCAAGTCCTGCCTGGGTCTGGCACCAGGCCTGGCTCTAGATCCTCCACCTGTAGCCCACCACCAAGGCAGTTCAGAAGCTAGTGAGCAAGATTTGACTTCAGTATCCTGATTCCTTATTATTAATCTGCTATGTGATATTCTGTTTTTACTAAGTCCCTGCCTGACAATTCAGCATTCCTCTTGTAAGATCCAATAGTTTATTCCCCGCCCCAGGACCTAGATTCCCAGCTTGAGGTCCCCTACCTGTTAAGCCCCAAGATGCTGTTAGCCTCCTGGCTGCCTAGGAGAAGCTCCCAGGTTCTTAGACTAGGTTGAGCCCACCTTTGGTTAAGCATAATTATGTCACATTGGCCTTCCCAGGTTGGCCTGGACCTACTGTGTGTCCACCTATCCAGTAAATAGTCTTACACCTTGCCCTTTTGTTCTCAACTCCTGGCTACTCCTTGAATCTGAACAGGTGTATGGCTTTGGATTCCCATATCACCAGTGTTCAATTCCAGGATATGAAGAATATGGGCAAGACAGGCTGTCAGAGGGAGCTTTTACCAATGTCAGTCTGACACTGACCCCAGAGTCCTTTCCATCAACTAACAAATATTTGGCTACCAAGGACTTTGAGGGGCAGTTTGTGTTGGGATGGCTATGGAGGGTAAGACAGGGTCATGGAGGTAGAGGGAGAATGGTGGTGGAGACACCAGCTGCTTTCCTGTTGGCCTGTTCCAACCCTGAAGTCACTTTGATGCTGCTCCAGCCAGCAGCCCAGGAACCCTGTCTAGCACACCACTGTCCTAGCTAAAGGCCTCCAGGCAACTGCGCTCTTCAGGTAGTCGGTAATACAAAGAAGTGGCAGGTTTAGAAGCTAAGTGAGAGTTTTTCTACATGTCCTTCTCCTTCCCCAGATCTGCATTTCAGAACTTATGAAATGGTGAGGCCAAAAAAAAAAAAAAAAAAAAAAAAAAAAAAACAAAAAAAAACGTTTCTCCAAGGTCACTTTGAAAGAAGCAATGTATATAAATTTCGCCCTTAGGGCCACAGAGCTACTGGTCCTGTTGATGAAGTGTTATTGGAACAGCAGAGAACCAGACACTGAAGGGATTACCTCCAGAAAATCAGAGAGGACTTCAACGTGTAAACCTGAATCCTTTGGCCCTGGGAAGGGAAGCAGCCCAGCCTGGGAAGAAGCCAAGCAGAACAGACGATGGAGAAGGTGGCCACGGCACAGGGCCAGGACTTTTTATCCTATTAGCCCATGGCTTCCCAGCAACTTCTGAACAGAAGCATTCATCTTACAGAATTTCTGGGCTTCTTAAAAGGGGATAAATGAAGTCAGTCTTTTGGCTACATTTTCTCTATAAACTAAGACCTTGTAACAATTGATGTTTTTAAACAATTTTAAGCTTTAACACAATTGATGCTGATGTCTTAAAGGACCGGTTGACAAATTAATTCAACAATACTTCCTAAACAAAACCAAAGGCTGGTTGGGGAAGGGAGGGAGTAAGAAGTGTGACTTCCTGAAACCATATTATAGTGTAGAAGGATAAATTTTTTCAATCCTAGAAAATACAAATATATATATATATTTAGGAAGAAAGAAGTAACAATTTACAGACAATATAGGATATAAAGTTCTGAGGTGGCAGGAATGTTTCTCCTCGGGTATCTGGGAAGACTTGGGAAAGGCAGAATCTGAGCCTGGCCTTGCTGGCTGGGGAGGATCTAGAATTCTTCCACGTGATAAAGCACCAACTGGGTGTCAGGCACTGTGCTAAGAATTGGAACACAATGATGAGCACTGTGTGGGCTCTGTCCTCAAGGAAAGACTTGCTGTCTATGTGGGCAGCAGGTGTGGGAACAGAGGACGAAGCAGAGCCCTGGAAAAGGTGTGGTATTGGAAAGTGGCTAGGGAAGTAAGCTGGGGGCATGGAGTGTGTGTGTGTGTGTGTGTGTGTGTGTGTGTGTGTGTGTGTGTGTGGCATCTGATGAGTTGAGTCTTGAAGCTTCTGTGTACTCTATGGACTCAGAGGAATGGCATTCTAGACAGGGGGAACAGTGAATGAGAAGGCATGGACAGAGGCCACTCAGTAAAGACAGGGTGAGAATTTAGAGAAGTCTGCGTAACTGGAACAAAGGATGCGTGTGGGCTGTGATAGCAGTTGAGTCTGGGAAAAGGAGGCAGGAGAAAGATCCTGGAGGCCTTGAGTGCCAAATAGTGTGTGATTTTATCATGTGGGGGATCTGGGGCCAGCCATATTTTTAAGTAGGAGGGGGTGGGTTCATGTTTACCTTTAGAAATATCATGGAGGGGGGCGCCTGGGTGGCTCAGTCAGTTGAGCGGCCGACTTCGGCTCAGGTCACGATCTCACGGTTCGTGAGTTCGAGCCCCACGTCGGGCTCTGGGCTGATGGCTCAGAGCCTGGAGCCTGCTTCTGACTCTGTGTCTCCCTCTCTCTCTGCCCTTCCCCCATTCATGCTCTGTCTCTCTCTGTCTCAAAAATAAAATAAACATTAAAAAAAAAAATAAAAAAATAAAATAAAAAAAAATAAAAAAAAAAAAGAAATATCATGGAGAGAATGGAGTCTTGGAGCTCAGAGAAGCAGGAGGAAGGGGACCAGTTCTGGGGGTTAGTGGGTTGGGCGGGAGGCACTGAGGCGTATAAGCAAGGAAATGGCAGCATCTCATGGGATGCTCACAGCTGGGTGGTGTGCAAGATGGGTTTAAGGCAAGAGAACTATCTGGATTGAGGAAGACCGTTAGGGGAAATGCCCCATGAAAGTCATTTATTTAAAACAATTTTTTAAGTTTATTTATTTATCCTGAGAGATACAGAGATAGCATGAGTGGGGAAGGGGCAGAGAGAGAGGGAGAGACACAGAATCCTAAGCAGGCTCCACACTGCTAACACAGAGCCCGTCATGGGGTTCCAACTCACGAAATCGTGAGATCATGTCCTGAACTGAAACCAAGAGTCGGACGCATAACCAACTGAGCCACCCAGGCACCCCGAAAGCCATTTATTTTAACAAATACTTTTCCATTGTTCCATTTCTTCCCGGAGGAGCACCTTTCATTTTGGAATTTTTAAAATAGCTGTCATTTCTGTAGCTTTCCGAGGTTTGGGTAATGATTTCCTTTTTCTCTCAGTTGAAATGGATTCTGCTTCACAGGAATCATCAGAGTTGACTTCAACTTTTTGTCTTCTGAGGGCTGCTTCAGAGTCCCTTGTTTGGGACTGAGGGATAGTCTGTGATTGTCACAATGCTGTGAAGTTTCTAGAAATATGTACTGAAATCAGTTGGAACAATTGTGTTTATTTAAAAAAAATAAATTTCCCAGGGGCAGTCCCCAAATTCTGTATAAGGCGACCTTTTGCCTCACTGTATAAATGGTTAGAACTGTAGAAATACTTAGAACTAGACAGATGTTTTCTGAGGTAGATCTGTCCTCACAGGAAAAGCTGGGCTGTAAGAAAAGGGCACTGAAGGAAGTGACTTTTGTTCTAATGCCAAATCCCTGGGAGACTGGTGTTTGCAAAGTTTACATCCTTTTGACTTTTTACATGATTTCTCTAACTCTTACATTTCATACACCAAGAGCAAAATAGAACTTGACCCTGGCTTACTACATGGTGAGTCTGCCAGGCTGGCCATGCAATGGGCTAGTTAGTCAGGAGACTGGAGTAGAGAGCAAGTAAGGTCGAGGTCATGGTTGAAACTCCTACAGAAGCCTATTGGCTGGGTACATCCTGGCTTCCACTCTCTGGCTCCGGTCCAAAGGGGGTTGTAAGGGGTAACAATGACTCAACAGAGCCCAGTCTCACTCTCTTAAATTGCCTTGCATGTCCTCAATGGTGGGTCAGTAATAGGAACTTCAGACATAAGGAGACCTTGATTAAGAAACCATTGGGAAGAAACGACCATTTTCTATCTCAGCTCTGATTTTTTTTCAGGCTTCTGTAGTGATATGGGGTGGCATTAATTGTTGCACCTTTTCTACTAAACAGAAAATACTTTGATGCTCCAGACAGAAATACCTGCCAAACGTCTTTAATTTGCCCCCAAACAGTTGAGGGTGCATAGGGTTGGGCCATGCTTCCATTCCCCATTTTCTCTTTCTCTGCCCTTTGCTCCACCAATGGCCTCTCCTTCCCTGGGAGCCCCCCTGAAGACCCTTCTCTCTATCAAAGCAGGAAAGGCTCTTACAATGGTTGTTTGTACTCACAGGTTGACAGATTGCCCTTCATGGCAATGATTTCTGTAACCATGACTTCAACTAGACATTGCATTTCAAAGTATTTCCTGGGAGGCCGTGGATAGAGAGTGGTGGTTAAAAGTGGGTAGTCTGAAACCAGATCACAGCCAGGCTGGGATCTGGTGCTGACACTTACCAGCTATGTGACGTGAGATAAGTACTTCACCTTGCCAAGCCTCGGTTCCCCTCTCTGTAAAGAAAAATCCGGAATGCTGTGTTGCTGTAAGGACTCAAGGAGAAAACCTGCTTTAGCTCGGAATTCCCTGGCACGTGATAAATATTAGCTATGATTATTTATTGGCTAATTGACACACAAATGGCCTTATTCTACTGAAGTCCTTAGTATAACAGTGAGCAAGTAGTGAGAATCTTCTCAGTTTTTTTACAATGAGAAGCTTCGAACGTGTAGAAAAGTTGAAAGAATAGTGCAATTGACGCGCAAACCCTTCTCCTTAATTCTACAATTATTTATTCGACAATTGTTTACATTTTGCTGTCCATATATATTTTTCTTAACCATTTCATAGTAAGGGGTACACAGGACCTCTAAATACTTCAACACATATCTCTTGAAAAAATAAGGATATTAATGAATAAGGGTATTCACAATCATCTTTATCACACTTAGGAAAATTAATGATAATCACCTTAATCACCTCATTCCAGTCCATGTACCATTTTCCAAAATGTTATATGTCCTCTAGTAGATTTTTTTTTCAAACAAGATCCAATCAAAATTCTTTGGAGTTTGGTCAAAATGTCTCTTTGTTCTCTTTTGATCTAGAGCAGTAGGTGTGTGGAAACTTAAAAACCACATCGTTACTGAAATCAGCTACATGAAAGGGTTGGCTGCCAAATAGGAACGTCCACAGCTTCCACCGAACCCCCCTGGCCCTGGCACTTTGCATACTGACACAGGCTCTGTGATATGACCGCATTGGTGGTTTGTCGAACAATAACTTGAGGTGAGGGACTTTTAATATTTCCTTCATATTCCCATCACCTGCACTGTACCCGACACAACAGATGGTCAATAAAAGTGGATGGAGGGAAAAGAGGCAGAGAGGGAAGCAGGGAAAAAGAGGGTAGGAAGAAGGCTGGCCCAGGGAGGCATCTGCATCCATGCCTGGTAGGTGCCTGGGGGAGGACAATCTCATCTCCCGGAAGCACCCATTCTCCTTTGATTTGGGGAGGACAATCCTCTGCTGTGGCATGTGCCTTCCTCCCTCTTGTGCTCCTTTTCCGCATCTCCCACCTTCCTCACCTGAACACTAGGTGGGCTCATGTCAGACTTCCTGCTAACTCTAGTTTAATCTCTCCCTCTATTTCCAGGGACTGGATTAGCACTCGACAGTGTTTAAAAAGTAATCTATTTATCTTTTATCTTAATGTATCTTCTCCTACAACCACACTCACTTTTTCCAATACTCCCCTCCCACATGATTTCCACCTTCAGTAATGAAATTCCTTACCACAAAGTGAATCATGGGGAATACACACTCTTTGTTCAGAGAGATTTCATGGTGTTAATAAGGAGGCATGCTCTCATGAAACGAGAGGACCCAGATGGATTAGTTCCCAAAGCCAAGAGGAGTTGTCCTCCAAACAGAACCAACAAAGTTTAGCTTAGGCTTCACGGTCAAACTATTACTTCTAGTTGGTGGAGAGAGAACAGTGACCGAAATGACTGGAATAAACCAAAGTTTGTAGAGCAAGCTTTCTCCAGACCTCATATCTAATCCATCTCTAAAATTCCAAGGTAGACACAGGCAGAGAAGATATAGATAATGAATTCAAGAAACTCAAGATTATCTGCATGGCGTACTGACTAATCTTCATTCCAGGCTGATCTCGTTGATATGCTTCTCTGTCACCTCTCTTTGCTGAGCAGTTGGCTTCTAGTCAAAGTACACAAGGCCATTTAATTATTAATCTGAGCAAAACAGTATTAGGAAAGTTAATCTGTTCAGTGTGTCTGTATGTGTACACTTGCGGATACTTTCTTGATTACCTGACTTTTTTGTTTTGCTGTTTACCTCTCTGGGCCCCTTCTTCTCTCCATTTGTGGAGAGATCAATAAGGTTGTTATGACCAACAAGGAACTCCTAAGAATTTGTTGGTCCTTCTTCCCCTCTCCTTGGATGTGTGTGGAAATGTTTGTCAGCTGTGGGGGATTCATGTACACAAGAAGTGACTGACCTTGACCTTTGAATGGACTCTGTGTCTGTGACCAGGAAAAAGTGCAGTGTTTGTGTTTGATGATGGTTTTATGTCCTGATGTCAGTAGAGAGTACTTTATAGGGCTTGCTGATGGCCAAGGGCTCTGGGAAACATAATGATTATTTAGCCAACTATTTTAATGAGTCTCTATAAACTCACTCCATTTTTATGTTAATAACAGGGAGGGAAACATTGGAAGATTAAATATAGAGGAGGATGGGTTTCAGCTTCATTGCTCAGGGCTATTGGGAATTCTATAGATTTAAATCCATCCTATTCTCATTATTTTTTTCTTCTCATACCTCTCATCCTGTCTTATTCTTCCTTCCTTTCTTCCTTTCTTCATCTTTCTTGCTTCCTATCTTTCTCTTCCTTCCTTCTTCTTTCTTTCTACAACATTTATTGCATTCTTACTATGTATTAAACACAGTGCTAAATACTGGGGATACAGAGATGAATTACACATGGCCCTAGCCCTCCTGGAACTTGGTTTACTGGGGGAGGCAGACAGAGACAGAAGTCATTCCAGTGTAATGGGTAATAATAGGGTAAATTTAGTGGAGGGGCCCTTGGCTTGGGAAGGAAGGCAGGAAACTTCCTGAAAGAGATAATTGGGTGATTGACTAGGAGAGGAGCAGGGCCCAAGGCCAAGCCATTCATATGCTTTAAGAGCATTGGACAAAGGAATTGGGATGAAAGAATTTGGGGATGTGGGTCTTTCATGGATGGATGACAACCGATTTTGATGTCATGGGGTATGGTTAGGGTAGGGTAGAAATGATACCTTCTTCTACTCTGATAACGTACAGGTGACCCATCCATGAAGTACTGGGTATGTTCCAAGGGGCCTGCTCAGATGGCTGACCCCAGGGAATCCTGGAAGAAATGAAAGCTAACATGAAGGAGAGATGACCCTTGAAGACCAGTGCATGATATGTGCTCAGGGGTGAAGTGTCATATAAGGGGAAGCAGGCAGATAGGGGTCAAGAGGTATGGATGAAGATCAGTGCTCACCAGGGTGGAACAGTGGGAGTCAGAGAGGTGGAGGAGATCTCCTGGCCTTCTGACAAACAAATCCTACCTCGTGCTACAAATTTTACCAGGAGCTCAGGATTCAGGAGGAGTTCTTCCAGCCAGTAGTCAGATAAGTGGCCACATTTGTTCTTAGGGTCTCCAAGGGCAGAGCCCTATCTGGGCTGTTCCATGAGATACAGGAAGCAGGAGACCTTTTATAAACTCAAGAAGGTAATAAGGCATCTACTGAGGAAATTTAATTCCTGTTTCTTGATAGAAAGAGTATATATGAGCCAGAAAGACTTAAATATCATGTCCAATAATAGCAACTGCAGTGATAGTAATAGCCACTGTATATTTCATGTCTACTCTGTAGCAGGGCACTTCATATATTATTTATTTTAACCATCACATGACTTAAAATGATATGTGATGATAGAAGTTCTTACAATTGCCTCCATTTTATAGATGGGGAAATCAGAGGTTGGAGAGGTCATAGGTAGCAAGCCCTAAAGTCTCATTTGAACCCATATCACTCTAACTCTAGAGCCCCTGATCCAAACTGCTTTCCTTACTGTGAATAAATAGTGCAGCTCATCTTTGACCTGAAATGGTGGAGTGCAGACACCCTAGGACTGATGAACTACATTTCTACTGCACTACTAGTTGTTATGAAGATGCATAACTTTTAATTTTTTATTTCTCTAGTATAGTCTTAGTATACTTAAAAAATATTAGTTATTAGCCAAGAACATATCATTTCAGGGGGAAAAAATACAGATTTGAAAACAGCCTCTCTGAAGTCTATTACATTGGTAGTTGTTATGGACTGAACATCTGTGTCCTCCACCAAATTCATACTTTGAAGTCCTTATCCCCAATGTGATGGTATTTGGAGATGGGGCCTTAGGGAGGTCACTAAGTTTAGATGTTGCCACGATGGTAGGGTCCCATGATGGGATTAATGCCTTTATAAGAAGAAGAAAGAGACACCAAAGCTCTTTCTTGATGTACACACGCTGATGAGTGGCCACGTAAGGACATAATGAAAAAGTGGCTATCTATAAGACAGGAAGAATGACGTCACCAAGAACTGAATGTGCCAGCACCTTGATCTTGGACTTCCCAGCCTCTAGAACTGTGAGAAGATAGATGTCTGTTGTGTAAGCCTCCCAGGCTATAGTATTTTGTTATAGCAGCCCAAATGGATCAAATCAATAGTTGATATCAGCATCTGGGTGGACATGTTCCTCCGCATGTGTGTGTCCGTGCAGTAAATCCTCTTTGAGGGTTGCTTACCTTATCTTGAGACCCCTCACTCCACACCTGAGATTTGGGTGTTCTTTTTCTTATTTATATTTATGAATAGTTTATGCATAATGACTTTAACAAATCCTTCTAGGGAAAATCTATGAGTTGCCTTTGGATTCTTCAACAGATGCGATGTTGGGTGCTACCACCATCTGTAGCCCCCAGATGAATGAACAGGGAGGTATGTAGGTGGTTCTGGCCCAGGGAGGAAAGCTAGGATCTATACAAACCACTGGACTACCTGCCTCACTCCTTGCTCTGCGTGTCTCTGATGGGCCTGAGGGAGACATACCTCAAGAGTATGGCAGCTGCAGTCCCTTTGAACACAAACCAGACTCTCAAGCTGTGTGGTCTCCCAGGAATTTGCTACAGGGAGTCTGGTGTGTGTTGGGAGGGACTTCAGCTATAGTACCCTTGAGGTTGCGGAGAAACATATCCTGTAAAAACAGACGAGTGGAGAGCTGTGACTTGGGAGGGGGAACATCACGCCTCCAACTTCCTTAGCAACCAGGTCCCCCTCTGCAGAGGGGCCTCACCGCTTCTCAACTGGAGTTGGCCCATGAAATCCTCAGGTGGAAGGAATCTGCAAAGGTCATTTAGTCGAGGGCTTCTGGGTCTGTGAGGTACATGTGTTTCACCTGGGAATTTTGTGGGGGTGGAAGGATTCGTATTGAGTAGGTCAAGGATGGGACCAGAGAGTCAGCATCTTTAACAAGCTCCCCAGTGAGGCCGATGCTGCTTCTGGGGATCACACTTTGAATGACAAGGATTTACTCTGTCCCTCTGTGTCAAGGTAGGCTGAATTTCAGTGACCATCTCGGTCAAATAAGAATCCATTCTGCTGCAGCGAAGGAAATTCTCTTGTCTAGCAGCTCTCTTACCTTGTAGAAGTTCTTACTCAGCGAGGCCAAATCGCTTTACGCAAGTCAGTTGAGGCCATTTTGTCAGATTCTGCTCTCTGTAGAGATACAGATTCAAAGTAAGTAGCCCTCTCTCATATCACAATCCTCGGTTATTTAAAGACTACTAAGTCAGATCTATTTTTAAGAGCACCGCTTCTCCCTCTGCCCTTACACCTGCATTATCCACTTTGGTCAGGAGGAGTGAAACTACTGGGGCATGTTTGGCAGAGGAACCGGCATTTGGAAGCGTCATGGGGGGCTGCTCGCCCAGTCAGAGGGTCCTCACGCAGCCAGATACTATCCACTCTCCGTTCTTTTTAATAAAGGGGATGGCAGAATTTATGCAAATTAAAATCTGACGAGAAGATGAAAATGCCTAACTTTTAGCCTCACCACTTATCAGGACATGGTCACGGTGTTGTTCGCAGGTAACAAGTGACCTAGTCTAGCAAAAGACATTTTCTCTTTTCTCCCTGGCTTTTTATTTCTCCCACTGGCAGACTTGGAAGCAAGGATTCAGTCATTTGCCACAGCCACGCAAAGGACCCCGAATAACCCACAATGTGAAGGAGAGATAGTAGATTGCATTTTCAGTATCCAGTAATTTGCGAAGTCTCTTCTGCCCCTGTTTTAATTCCCCTGAACTCTGTTTCCTGTCTGCCATCAGCTGTTTGCGCCTTTGTGTGACTAAATCAATGTGTTTCCTCTCTCAGGGGCACTTGTATCTTTTTTTAATATTTATTTATTTATTTATTTATTTATTTTAAAAGAGAGAGAGAGAGAGAGAATGTGAACAGGGGAGAGACAGAGAGAGAGAGGGAGAGAGAGAATCTCAAGCAGGCTCCTCTCTGTCAGTGCAGAGCCCGACGCGGGGCTCAGTCTCACAAATTGTGAAATCTGAGCCGAGATCAAGAGTCAGATGCTTAACCGACTGAGCCACCCAGGCGAGGGGCGCTTGTATATTTAAACTCTTCTCTCTGAGTAAGGAATGAGAAAATGTATCCTTTGTCACAGAGGCTAATAATGGTCTCCTGGTGACAGGTTATGTTATGTACCCCCTCGAATGGCCTCGTGGGATTCCTGCAGCCATTGCCTACACTAAAGATGCCACGGTCTACGGGTTCACGCTGATATCCTAGAGGAGGGACAGACTCTTCCAGTAGAATGTGAGGCTTCCAGCAGAGCCTGTGCAAGTTGCAGGTTTCCAGAGAGCAAGAGTATCCAGAAGTCTACCGTCACCCCAACCCCACCCTCTGCAGAACATCCTTCGTCATTTTAAGAAGGTAAAACGAGACAGCCAGAGCGCGGGACGAGATGGCAACTTCTGGTTTATTCTGACAGCCAGTGTGTAGGGAGCTTTGTGTGGGGAATATGACTCACTTGCCTCGGTCATGACTCTGAGCCCAGGATTCACAAGTGTTCCAAAGTTAGCAACCAACCTTGTACGCCCACAGAGTAGTAAGACGCTTCCCATTGAAAACACTCAACCAATGGGGAAATACATGGAGAAAGAGAAGGTTAAAGGAGCTGTGGATTATTACAGTTTTTTCAGTTAGCCTGGAAAATCTTTCTAGAGAATATAGTCTTTTCTGCTTCACCATTTACTACCCTATTCATCCACCCATTCAAAAAGTTTTTACTGGAAGATTCCCAATGCCTAGCACTGTTCTGGGTGTGAGGGAGGCAGCAATAATAAAGGAGTCCTTTCTCTCATGAAAATCACAATACAGTGGGGAAACCGTGGGAGAATGATTTCATCTCTTATAGTTTCCTCATCTACAAAATGGGGATAATAGTGTCCTGCTTCATTGGATAAGGTGTGTAAAACAGTCATCAGGGTGCCTGGCCTCAGCAGACATTTACTTAATGTTAGCTGCCGGCTTCTGTTGAGGAACAACTGACGTGTGATTAAGATCATCGGTGTCCTGGGGGCACCTGGGTGGCTCAGTCGGTTAAGCGTCGGACTTCGGCTCGGGTCATGATCTCGTGGTTTGTGGGTTTGAGCCCCATGTCAGGCTCAGAGCCTGGAGCCTGCTTCGGATTCTGTGTCTCCCTCTCTCTCAGCCCCTCCCCCACTCATGCTCTGTCTGTCTCTCTCAAAAATAAATAAACATAAAAAATTTTTTAAAAAATCACCACTGTCCTGATGTGCCCATTGGTGCCATAGTCCAGTCTCCCCACTGGGAGCCCAGGGCCTCAGCAAAGCTGTAGCTGGGAACTTAGCCCCACTGTGGATAGTACCAGAGATGCTGAGCTCAATATAAGCCTCCACCGTGTTAGAAAAACCTCCTCCCTCTCTAAAAGGAGCTGGCTGGGTAATCAGTGACTGCTTGGTGCAGATAATGGTGGTGACGATGATAAGAATCAGCAAAGTATAGGGGAGCCCGGGTGGCTCATTTGGTAAACGTCCAAGTCTTGGTTTCTGCTTGGGTCATGATCTCATGGTTTGTGGGTTCATGCCTCACGTTGAGCTCCATGCTGGCAGTGCAGAGCCTGCTTGGGATTCTCTGCCCCTCCCCTGCTCATACTCTCTCTCTCTCTCTCTCTGTCTCTCTCAAAATAACTAAATAAACTTAAAAAAAATATTTGAAAAGTATCTGTAAAATGGGGTGCCTGGGTGGCTCAATGGGTGAAGCGTCTGACTTCGGCTCAGATCATGATCTCACAGTTTGTGAGTTCGAGCCCCGTGTTGGGCTCTGTGCTGACAGCTCGGAGCCTGGAGCCTGCCTCAGATCCTGTGTCTCCCCCCTCTCTGCCCCTCCCTGCTCATGCTCTGTGTCTCTCTGTCTCTCAATAATAAATAAACATTTAAAAAAAAGTATCTGTAAAGTGTAACTCAATTTTATAGTCAGTCATTTTATGGATTCAATGTTCTAGTCACCATTCATTTCCTCTTCAGTGCAGGGAACCACCCAATCAGACAGTTGCACAATGAAAAGAAGCTCTGAGAATGCCAAGGTGTGTCACTGGTTGTGGTGCCGCAGCCAGAAAGGGCAAAGGTGGATTGCCAAACCAGGGCTACCTAACTTCAGCTGAGAAACCCTGCTGCCTTCAGGCCTGAAATTTCTCTAGACCTCAGTTCTTCTCCTGGGTCTCTTCCTTGGTGAGGTCTCTGGATGCCTGCAGGCGCTGATAGTTTCTGGTTTGAGTGCTTGCCTAAAACCGCTTACAAGTATCTGTTAACACAGTCTCATGGTATTATCATTATGCATTTGTGAATTTCTTTGTTTTATTTTCTTTAACTGTACTCTTCTTTTTTTAAATGTGTTTATTTATTTTTGAGACACAGAGAGAGAGCATGAGCAGGGGAGGGGCAGAGAGAGAGGGAGACACAGAATCCAAAGCAGGCTCCAGGCTCCGAGTTGTCAGCACAGAGCCTGACGTGGGGCTCGAACTCACGGAGTGTGAGATCATGACCCGAGCCGCTTAACAGACTGAGCCACCCATCAGCGTCCTTTGTATGATTCCAGGCAAGAGCCTGAAATACTTCTGCCACCAGCCAGTTTCTCAGTCTCATTAACAACGGGCAAATCTTCCTCAGGGAGAAACAGTTTAAACACACAATGAGAAGCAGTAGTTTGCTCTAAGCAGCCTTGACAAGGTGCTTTAGATCATTGCTAAGTTTCTCTCCAGTTCTGGAGTTCTAGAATCTCAACTTTCTTGAGCCAGAGATAGTTTGAAGGGGGGGGGGGGGGCGAACAAACTCAGCAGGGAGAGGAAAAAAGAAAAAAAAATTAGATGGCTTAGAAAGTGAGTATAGAATTCGAGAAAAGCTTTGAGATTTTTCCGTTTGGAGATTTGGCTGCGTTTAGAGCTGGTTTTCGGCTCTGCTGGGTTCACTTTTCTAAAAGGCATGCCGCCGTGGGACTTTAATCAGCTCACTCATCTAGCTAGTTGGTATGGCTTGAAACCAGCAAAGAACCAGGTAGTCAGGTCTGGCTCCTTGCTGTGCCTGCTGCTATTTCCAGCAGACCTGATCTGCACATCCCTAATTCTTCGTGGTCTTCGATGGCCTCCTTTCCCAAGGCCACTAAGCATTCTCCTGTCCTTTTACGTGGTTTTCTCTGTGTTGAGGTGTCACAGAGCCAGATGAGCCTGGTGTGAAATCCACCACAGGTTACTTATGTGACCCGAACGTGTTTCACCTCTCTGGGCTTCGATTTTCCCCTCCATGAAATGGGCCCATATTAACCTATTAGCCATTACAGAGTTCCCATGAGAATGAAATGTGTGCATGCATACATGATCATACTTAAACATTAATCGAAAAGCTTTTGTGTAGGGATTAGGTACACATCCGGGTGTGCCGCCGAGTAGCTGTGGGAACTCAAGCAAGTTACTTGACTTCTCTGTGCCTCAGTTTCCTCATCTGTAAAATGGAGATAATAATACCATCTACTCCAATGACTTGGGGTAGTGATTAAGTGAGCTAAGAAGTAGAAGATGCTTGGAATAGTCATTGGCAGGTGGCAATTGTATGTGTCAGCTGTTACTATTATTATTAACACGACACAACACACCCAGCATAATGCTCGGTAAGCCCTGATACCTTTGGTACTGAACTTGCTGTCTGTCCTCTGGAGTGCCTCCCTTTCTAGTTGTCCTGCTCAGCTGAGCCTCTCTCCAGCTAATAGGAAACTGGGGCTCCAGGGGCTGTTCAGCAATCAGACGTTGAAGGCCCACGTTTGGTGGTCCAGGTAGGTGAGCACATGGGTCCAGAGGAGACCAAAGCCCTGAGAAGGACCAGCAACCTTCACTGCCTTCATTCCATTCTTTGTCCAGGGCTCTAGCCTCAGGACACCCCAAGAGGGAAACTAGAGTGTGTGACCTGGGGGCCCTCCCAGGAAGCACGCAGGTTTGCTGCTTCCCTGAAGAGAGGAGTCCCCAAAACAGATTGTAACCCTATAGGGATATATATATATATATATAGTTTATATAGTATATATAGTATATAGTATTATATTTAGCCAATGAATAAACTGGACCCAGTATATAGTATATACTATAGTATATAGTATACAGTATAGTTTATAGTATATACAGTTTATAGTATATATAGTATATAGTATATATAGTTTATATATATAGTGTATATATATATATATATATATATATAAAGTTTATTCATTTATTTTCAGAGAGAGAGAGAGAGAAAATTAGTGGGGAAGGGGAAGAGAGGGGAGAGAGAGAATCCCAAGCAGGTGCTGCGATAACAGTGTGGAGACCAATGCAGGGCTTGAACCCAAAAACCATGAGATCATGACCCGAGCCGAAACCAAGAGTTGGATGCTTAACTGACTGAGGCACACAGGCGCCCCTGTAGCCCTGTAGTTTGTCAGCTCTGGCACATGTCAAGGAGGCTCTGGGTTCACTTTGGCAGGGATGTTTTTCTAAGTCTGCAACCTAAAGTAGGCTACGACTTCCAGTCTCAAGAATTCGGCTCTGCATGGAGCGCGAGGCTTCCTCTTGCCAGCGGGGCTGCTGGTGCCCTACCATCCAAGGAGACTGGCTTGGGGGAGGCTGCCGTGGGGGAGGGGGAGCTGGGCTGCCGGCCCAGCTGACCACTACGCTGGTCCAAGCTGGCTGTGCTGGGGCTGCATGGAAAATACTCTCTCACCAAATGGCAGAATCAATCATGTATCGGGCGCT